GAGCCCGAAGCACACATGGGGTTCAATGGGAAGTTAATGCTGCTAAAATCATTTGCTCGTCCAATATATCCAAGGCAGAAATTGTAGCATCCAAGGCTTAATGAGTGTGGAGCAAATGAACTCAATATTGAAATGAGATTGTCATTTACATCCCACAAGGCACCATTATTTACACCTGATCAACATGCAAATTCTGAGTTGAATGAACAAGATCAAGTCGGGATTACTGCTAAATCACTAGCTATTTGGCAAGTACTGTCTCTGGTCCACTGTAGTGGATATAAGCAGTGTTGGAGGTGAAACTACTACACTTTGTCCAGAAGCATTGTCAGAAGGATGGGAATGCTAACTATGGAATATGAAAGATGAAATGCCCAGGTAGTGTATGGAAAAGTTAATTGAGTTTTACAATATGGGAAAAAGAAACAAAAGGCGGAAAGTGTCCGCTGATAAGGCTCATTAGATTCTGATGAATTCAGTCCTTCTAGGAAATTGGCAAGATAGATTTTGTGTCACCATTTTCAAGATAAAGGCATTCTTTTCTTTAACTCCAGCTAAAATGAGGGTATTTATTGATAGTGATAGTACAATTCCCAAAGATGTAGTGGATGAAGCTGAACATATATATTTGCAGGAAGAAATTGCTGTATCTTCTGCCTCATTTATTGATCGAGATATGCAAACAGATTAACTTAGCCCTCGTAAACAGCAAAATTTACATACAGCTGTATCATTTTTTCATACTTCATGGATTTCAAATCTGAAAAAGATTCTGAATAGTAGAGTCAAGTAGTTTATTTCTACCAATCAGCATCTTCTGAGACATAATATTTCAAAATTTAGCACAACACCTAGAGGGGTCAGTTTTTTTTACTGGGTTTCTTAAATTAACTGAATATAGCACATCTGAAGGCAACCCATTCCAGTATGTCAGAAAAAATAAAGCTGTCTTAGCTGAAGATGACACCTACTCTGTCAAAATTTATATTTGTGTCCTATAGTGTTACCATTCTCACCATTAAATATAAAAAAAGAGGGTGCATCAACACTATCAATTCTTCTAACAACTTTAAACAACTCAATCAGATCCTCTCTAACTCTTCTTTTTTCAAAAGAAAACAAGTTTAGAGATCTTATATCCTCATATTACAACCTGTCCATCCCAGGTATTATCCTAGTAGACTTGCTCTGAACTCTTTTCAACAATTCAATATTTGTTCTAAAGTTAACACACAGTACTACAAATACAGCCTAGCCAATGACCTATACAATGATATTATAACCTATTTAGATTTGTATTCAAAATTTCTGTACATACAACTTAGAATACTATTTGCCCTGCCATTAGCAACAGCACATTGTTTGTATTAAGAGACTTAGGAACCACAACACCAAGATCTTCCATAACACTTATGGTTTTCTCTGGTAAATTGTTTAGGCAGAGTATTCATGATGAGTAAACTGGAATGGACACACCATGTCAACTGGACACAAAATAAACTGGAATAAAACTAGAATCAACAACATAGAAAAATTTTGGAAAACTGGAAAAAATAAATAATCTTTCTACCTTAACACAATAAAGCCTTCACTAAACAGAGATTCGGGATTAGAGTTGAGCAATCTATGGCTACCATAGGTTGAAACCTCATGCAGTCTTTCCACCAATCAGAACCAGGGATAAAGAAACCAATCACAACATGCCCTCCACAATCCACAAGGATACTATAAATACTTGTAACATCTCACACACACTGATCTCAAGACGAAAGACTTTCAAAACCTCGTTCTCTACATTTGTGTTTTTACAACAGGTAGTTGCCATCCGTTCCAGTTTACTCATCACTGTTAAGGTTATTCGCATCAAAATTATTCTCATAATTCAAATTGTGATTACCTTTGCATTTATTATAATTAAAAGCCATCTGCTATTTATTCACCCAACTCATTAAATAATCAAAGTCCAAGCAGTAGTGACCTGTTCACAGCCAGCAACACCCAAAACTTTAATGTAATCAGCAAATTTAAATAATCTATTAATCATTCCATCATCTATGTCATTGATGTATATCAAAAAAAGGAAATGTCCTAACATTGAGCCCTGAGGTACCTCACTAGTGACATTAATCCTATTTGACTGAACTCCATTTATAAGAACCCTCTGTTTTCATCCACCTAGCCAGTTTTTTATCAAATGAGCCATCCTTTTCACTACACCTACTTAGATAAATTTTTAACAAGCTATTTATGTAGCACCTTGTCAAATACTTTCTAAAAGTTCAGATACACCAAATCCACACCCGTACCATCATCTATGTAAGAAGTAACATCTTCAAAGAATGTCAAAAGATTAGTAAGGTGAGATTTTTCCTAAGCATTGATCATGAGGTCATAGTGGAATTTATGCATAGCTAAGAATCATGCAAAAAATATGAAAGTAGTTTGTGTTACCTTCAATATCATGTCAGCTAGTGCACAATCCCTACCACAAGATTAAATATGACACCAAATATATAATATTATTTGACCTCTGTATAACATTAGCTATGTTGACTGAGAGTGTTGTGAGCTTTCATGTAAAGTAAGGAACAACATCTGTCTTTTAAATGTAGCAAGAAATAAATATAATAGCACTGAACTCTTGTATGTTATCTCCCAATTATTTTACTGGTTTGCTTCACCTATATGCATAGTTAAGCCCAAAGTCTGGTACTTTAATAGCAAAAAACTACTTAAAACAAATTGAATAGTTTGTAGCTTTGACACAAACAACCTCAATATCAATCATCATAGTCTTACTCTGCAGGTAAATAGCACCTAATATAATGGCTAGAATATTTGTTAAAATATATAAAATGTCATTACAAGAATGATCCCTTGATTAAAAAAAAAAATTCACATTCAAAAGAAGCAAGTGAGCCACAAGCATGAGTTTCCCTCAATTTAGGTGCAAAAGGAAACTTAGGAAAATTTATAACATAAACTACTAGAAGTGTAAAATATTGCTGACAATTGGAGGAGATGACATTATTATCACAAGCTCCATTAACAAAAGCTTATTCTAAGTTTATAGGATCTAGTTACAACTAAGTAATCACCACTTCTCAAGGTATGCAAGTTATAATGTTCAAAAACATACAGTTCCTTACAAAATGGAATATATTTATGCAATTTTACAACTTCAGAATAAGAAAAATGGGTATTTTAATTTGCATGAAAAGTGGTAAAACTTTGCAGAAAGCTTTGCACAATTTGGTGAGCTTGGCTAACATCTGAAATTGTATTTAATGTTAATAAAAGTAAGGTTATATATATATATATATATATATATACACACACATTGGTTATCATGAAATTAATTATTCTTATAGCAGTACAGAAGAAACTAGGTGAAACCAATGAGGAGAAGATCTGGACAAAACTATCACAAAGTCTCCTAGATAATGTATGTTAGTTAGTAATAAGGCAAGCAGGATTTTAGATTGTATACATAGATATTCCAGGTACAAGTCAGTGGAGTTCACTAGATAAGATATTGGTTAGACCTCATTTACAATAGCTTAAGCCACATTATTTAAGAGTTAAAGGATACTGAGTTGTTGGACAGGAATAAGAGAAGAGCTACTAAAATGGTTCTATGTTTGGAGAGATTATAATATGATGATATGATGCAATATTTTATCATGTTTTTGCTCAAGAGGTCTCAGATGGACTTAACTGAGATTGTTTTTTTTTCAGTAGAAGACATCACAGTGTTAGCTGATGGTACAAAATGAGATTGTGCTTGCAAAATACCAATTGATTATTAGACAAAATATTATGTGATTTTTTACGTACACTCAAGCAATCTATTATTCTGGGGCAGCATTTCCCCAACTTTTGTTATCTACTCCTCCCTTAATTAAATATGGTTTCTTGCTTGCCCCCTCTTTTTTTAAATGAGTGAAAGAGTGAGTTAAGTATACAGTAGAACAATATTTCCCAAAGAGAGTAGAGTCAATAATGCAAAATTATGTGTTTTAATATATTTTTCATTAAAGAAAATAACAAGTAATTACTGCAACACATACAGCATTTTAATGCATATAATACACAGATATGCATTGAATGCTGTATGGGTTTCATATATTAAAACACTTAATTTTGCATTATTGACTCTACCCTAATTGCTTGTGCCCTCCAAGACATAATTTGCACTACTCCTAGAAGGCACACCTCACACTTTGGGAAATACTGTTCTACTGTATATTTTAGTTAAGATTTTATGGTTTCACCATTTATTCAACTCCGGTTAAGGCTGTCATTTTTCTGAAAAGGCAATCAACCTAAGTAATAGTAGCTTGCCTTCAGCTGTGGTATAAGCTACAGTAATGAAGGAGGTTAAGAGGAGATTGAACAACTATTTTAAAGATCAGGGTTGGATATATGAACAGGGTTTTTTACATGAAGTTTGAAGAAGGGTGGTAGTATAAAATGGGATAGCCTAGATAAGCTAAATGGCCCCTTGTTATCTATGGAAATGGAAGACAATGCATACACTTATAATGTGAATATAACTACAATAATGCATGCTGGTCAAAATCAAACATTGTTTTATGTTTAGTAAAAATATGGTACTGGCTTTAAAACATGAAGAGAAAAACTATATTTAAATACAGTATATTAATCCTGAAAAATGAAATTCATAACTAAATATGGGAACTATACATCTACATAAATTTATTGATTAAAGTTGCAGTCCACCAAATGTGTTACATGTTTCAGTGTTTAAATATTATACATTTATAATAGCTAGAAAATCATGCACACAACTCTGTGCTTATAAAAGTTAGTTCCAAAAAATATGAATTGGATAGCAGGTGCAGGTCCTTGCTAAAATTAAATTCTATGTAAAAGTTCAAGTTTTTAATGTACCACACTATACACTAACATTTTTACAACTTAACTCTAGTTATAAAAGCAAGATGATAATCAATCTTTTCTTTTGGTTTTTCACTTACTCTTCTCCACATAATAACAGGTTTAGGTTGTCCTCTACCATCACAAGGTATGGTAATTTCAGAGCCTAGAAGACTCTGATAGATTCCATTTGGTTTTATTGTGAACATGGGAGGCTCTGGAAAACAGAAATTTGTATAAAAAACAAGTTTCTTTAAGAAAAAAAATAATTAATAATAAAAGAGATTAGTAATAAATAATGCTAATCATTATAGAAAAAAACAACAATAAAATTATGAAAAAATAAAATTAAACACAAAATAAAGTTATTTTTTAAATTAACAAGTACTTCATTTTTTAGAGTAAACTGTTACAACACAAGCAAATACCTGAAACTAAAAGTTTAAGTTACAGATATTTAATTTTTGAATAAGTAGGAGTTTCTAAGACACAATAGCTTTAATTACAGAACAAGAGGGTTGAAGATATGAACTAAAAATAAAATATAATTCAAGACCTGATCATAAGAATGTCCAACTAACTAATGAAAATGTACTACACCTGTTCAACAGGTAGTTCAGGCCATACCCGATCAAACTTGGCCATCTTATGTTAGACAGATAAGTTGAATTTAGCTAGATCTCATCTACTATCAGGTTTCATGTATGGGCCGAATTCTTTACAGTAGGTGTCTGTGTCTTGTTGTCAATAAATTTCAAAAATAAACAAACAGCACAATGCACTTGTTTTAAAATAATATATTAAAACAAGCCAACTGTATATACAAATGTTCATTACACTGTTGGTTATCACAGCTATACCCAGACCTTTAAATAATTATCTTTTTTTGTCAAAGTCCACACAGGTTGGTTCAGTTACTTCAGAACACAGTTGACAAGACAAATTCTTCTTCTCTACTCTGTTATTACAATCTGTGATAATTTCACTTTAGAAATCATCACTATATACCCTTTATGACTAAACGCACAATCACACAGTCTAGATCTAACTATCTATCTACTGATTAACTCGCACTACATTTTGGATGCGTATTCATGGCCCAACAAAGGCCTAGAACATTCCATACACTATGAGATATTATGATGCATAATACTCAATTAAAACAATGAGAAACATGTAGAAGGTTCTAATAGCATGATGCAATTATACAACAATAGCCAATTCACAACAACTTAACTACACAAAGTATGATTCATAAACAGTGACATAAAAAACTTGCAATAAACTATTGCTTCTAAAAATACCCAAGTTTAACACTTGTGCTATATTTAAACTATCTAAATCATAATTCTTCCATTACACTTAAATGGAAATAGTTGTGTTTATTCAACATCAACTAACAATTGTTCAGCCCATAGTAATTTTGTTACTTTGTGTTATGAGCTCATCAAATACTTCTTCACTGAAGAAAAAACTTGTAGAGCTTCCTTTAGAAAAATCTACGATTCTCTGTAACTCACAAACAGAAGACTTCATAATTCATGATTTCAGACTTATCTATGTAGCATACATCAAACAAAAATAATGATCAAATGTAAAAATGTTTTATTGTAGGCGACTTTTAGTCACTGACTTATTTCAGGAGCTCACAGCAGGTAATCAGATATGATCACATATAAATCGAGGTAATTTTTTTGGTCAATTTCAAACTTTCATGTGGGACTGAAAATAACACATGGGTATGGAGAAATTCCAGAGCACATATCTCTTAGATTACAAATGTAAGTGTGAGATGATTAATAATAATAATTTTGCATGATAAAAATTTCAAACAAAAGAGATTGTCAATGCAAAATGTATAAAAAAAAATATATACAAAAGTGTTTGAATGATCTTACAATAAGTAAGAGATTATACATGAAATTATTCTAGACCAAGAAGTGAGCAGAAATAAGAAATATACCAATATAAAAATATTTATTATGAAATATTTGATCTTGTTTAAAAAAAATTGAAAGTGGTGTCCTCTGTTAAAAATTAACTTTTTGAATTGACCTAAACACAGATGAATTCATATATTACTCTTTTAATAAATAATTAAGATTATTTCTCTAACATTAATAGTTAATTAGATAAATGTTCTTAATATTTAATGTAATATGATTTGAAGAAATTCATAAAAGGGTTTCATATTTTGTGATAATTACTTATGTACTATTTTGAGCAGTTCTTACAAACATTTAGTAGTATTAACTTTTTCTGTAAAACTGTAATATAGTTTTGAAATTAAAAAGACACTTGTTAACATTTTCTTAAACTGAAAATGTATTTCTAACTATATACTTATCTCCTCTCAGAAAAAGCTTTCACCACTGTCTAGTCCTAGTTTAAAACTTACAGCTAAGTTAATAGCCATAGCAAACAAGCCAGCCCCTACCCTATTTAAATGTAAACCATCCATTCTTAAAAGCTCCCTTCTTCCACTGAACTTATCCCACAAGTCCAACCAGCCAATGTGCTCATCCTTGCATACTAACCTAAGCCTAGCATTTAGCCCTAATGACCTATTTATAACCTCATCCCCACAGTTAATTCTGGGCAGTATCTCTGATAAAATTAAGTTATGGCCTTTTTCTTTAAATGCCTTTATCAACCCCTTGTAAGTTGTACTTATTAATTAGCTCCTCTGACCTAACTTTCTCTACATCATAAGCCCCTACATGCACCACAAAAATTGCATCTCTGCTAGCTCCATTTATTATATCTCCTGCTCTGTCAGTTATATCCTCCAGCTGTGCCCAGGGGTAGCATAATCTGATTCTTTTCTCCCTATTTACCCCACAGACTGTTCTATCCACATGCCACCAATAACTATAACCTCTTTATCATCCACATACTTCTCTGACCTTTTTGTTTCCTTCCCTCCAATAGTTCCTCATCTGCAGAAGCCAAGGGCTGAAAGTTGTTGCTCAACTTGTTGTTGTTATAACTAAATTCACTACTTTTTTAAACTCAAAATTTTGGCAGCAGGAATCATCAATTATGTTATTAGAATCTTGCATCATTATTCTTAAAGTTAAAAGTAAAATTCTCTCCCTGAATGTCAGTACTTTTTACAAAGTTGTAATTTTAACTTAAATGACAGTATAGAATTAAAAAAAAAACACCTAATTTAATGTTGAAGATAGTGTAAATGTAAGTTCTTCCTACACTCCCCGATACAGATACTGAGATAGAAGCTTTTTATGTCATTGAAGACAACAGCAGAAAAAAAAAAAAAACATAAATGTAAGGCTTTTCACTTCATCAAAAATATAATATGTAAAATTTATACACAGACTTTTATCTGCGTTAAAATACTTTTATTTGTGAGCTTTAGGCACTTTTAGTCTTACCGGAGCCTAAATTGGGTAACAATGTACTGAGTATTACGAATTCGTTTACCTGTGGAACACCGTTTTAAATAAAGCGTCTAGGCAACAATCGGAAAACTGTAAATAGGTGCCATATTTGTATTAATTTATTTGGACTATCATCACATTTTTTTAATGCACAAGTATTCGGCTCAGTTACCTAAGCCTTCTACAGGTGCAAAACGTATAATAAACAACACGATATAACGGAACAATTCGAATCACAATTGGCATAGCAACAACGAAAAACAAGAACGTGCCCTAATTTTCTTTACAAAAGTAAGCCCGAAGCCTAATAAGCTAAAATAATGTTTCAAGGTCAAGAAACACAGCAAGCAATATTATAATTGTGGTTTGTTATGCTAGAAGATAAAATCAAATAGAGAAAATTAAATAAAAATTGAGTAATAGTCAATTAACTGCAAATTAACTGAAGAAAATGTCTTATGGTTGACAAACCGGTAAATAGTAATTATTTTATGCTGGAACTTTGGACATGGCTTCCTACTATTACAAAATAACTCTCCAGTCTCATATCCTAATTAATTGAGCAAACAATACATAATCAGAAATCAGTCCTTTTCATATACATTAAAATTAATCGATTTTTTTGTTTGTTCAATTTAACTGCACCTTCTTGATAATAAATATAATAATAATGATAAGTTAATTAAATAACTTCATGAAAATGAGTTCATTTAACTCAAGTCAAAATTGTAATTTAATTAATATCGCAACATAATTGACCCATATCTGATTTTACTCTACGAGAAAAACCTGGAACTCTGAGAGACAATGAAAATAAAAGCATTAAGAAATTGCAGCATCTTTAGAAGATACTAGTTTCAAATTACAGAAACAAATCATAGAACTGAAATGATAGGAGAGAATCGTTCTGGTAGTGAACGAAGCAACACGTAGTTTTAGCTCAATACAGCGGGCGGGAAATCGAACACAAAGTACCCTCACTGGCACAAGCACGTCGTCGGTGTCGCCTACGGAAAGCCCCAGCGGGATAAATAAATGTCAACGCCGACCGGGAGCACGGCTTCAGGTAAAGCTGGTTTGACTCTAGACATAATAGCCTCTTATAGTCCAGAACTCGAACTACTGGTAACATTAGCAAAACAAGAATACAACGAAAGAATGGCAAGATTAGCTTCACGTAAAACAAAGAAAGCAGTTAGGTTAACCAAAAATGGCACACAAAAAACACTTCTATGGAAACTAACGACACTACAGAACCACAAGAAAAACACTCAGGAAAATCAATACTAGAACACAAAGAAGAAGAATACAACAACACACCAACACAAAGAAGAATACAACAACACACCA